TCCCAGGGTCTTTCATCTTGGCTTTTCAGGATACAAGTGGGAAAGATTTTCCTGTTAGTTCCTGATAGTGAAGGACACACCACCAAGAGGCCAGTTGCTGTGGAAGATTCCACAGTGAACACTCACCACAAGGGAGTCCATTCTGAGGACTGGACACGCAGGCTGCTCAGCCGTCCACTAACCCAGAACGGAAACAAAACACACAGCAAAAGGAAGGTGCTGGCGATGCCGTGACAGTGTCCCTGCATGGGCCTGGCCAGCAATTTCCCTGGATGTAGGGAGGGGTGGCGGGTCGTGGGGGGAAAGGTGCGTATGTAACATTACGGAACTAACAGCTCCAGCCATCCGCCTTTCTTCCTTACAGTCCCAGAGCTGTGTGAAATGCCTTCTTTGAAAAGAAGGAATTTGAAGAAAAAATTTTTGGAAAATGGTTTCTGTGTGTCGCTTGGTTAGAGTATGTGGTCAGCGTCAGGTGAGGGACTCACTGCTAAGTAAGAGCTGTGGACTTGAGTTCTTTCCTAAAGCGCTTTACCACCAGGGATTCAAGTGTTTTGCGTACTGTTAGGCGTACAATTGTAATTTTGTAGCATTCTAAGAAAACCTGATGCTAGGAGGCCTAAAAGGTGGGTATTTGCACTTACACTTGAAATACTCGATTCTCCTTTTGTGAGTTAGTGTTCACCTGGTTGGCGAGTGCTCCTGCTAAACCTATGGTGGGCACCGCGCTGGTGCTCCTGCCACTGCTGCGAAGCCAGGCAGTTCACGGTTGGTGTGTAGTTGGGAAGTTCTCAGCCGAAATTATTTTCATTATTTCCCAAGTCTCAGTCCATTAAACAACTTGGTCAAGAGGCCAGGAAGAGAAATGGCATTCTCGAAATATTATTAGCATTTTGCAGTGAATGCTAACACAGTACATTTACAGCTGATTAAGTCTTCTCTCTCTGTTTCATTATGGATTCTGACAGGGATTTTGAGACTGAGTTCCATTAAATAATAAATAGAATCAGCAAGGTCATTTTCTTCCCTCCAAGGGAAACTTTGCAGGAAGAAGACAAGAATTGGGAAGAGATTTAGTTCAGTATCTCAGGGGGCATGAGGGAATCAAGTTTTTCAGAATCAGAATCGAATAAATACCAAACAGATATTTGCAATGAACTGTGGATATTATCAATTACTTATTGCCAGTGATTTGATTTTTTTCCCCAGAGAAAATTTGAGTAAGGTATGGTTTAGGACAGAGGTCTCAAAGTCGTGGTCCACAGATAATTTAGATCCACAGACGTGTTTTGTTTGGCCCAGACTGTGTTTAAAAAGTGTCTTTAAATATGATTGCTTTGTTTGAAAAATCACAGAATTTTACATAAAAAGTCAGATTTTGGGTAACACTGTCCCCCCCCACCCGCCTACTTTGTAACAGTTTGCTGCAGCTGAGTGTTGGCCGCCCCCAGCAGATGAGGCAGTTTTCATTCTCTATGTCACCTGCTTCCCTCCTTTATGTTGACACCTGTGACCGTGCAGTATAAGCAGTTAAGTTTGAGAGACTTGACTCACATGGTCTGGAATGAAGATTAAAAAGAACTAGAAGATTTTATTTCAGATTTTGTGGATCTTTGTCATTTTATAGCACAACGGTTCAGTTTTTGGGCTCTGGAATCAAAATTTCCTGGAAACAAGTGTGGTTTCTTTCAGATTAGTTGTGTGACCTAAAGCAGGTTACTTAATCTCTCTGAACACTTGTTTTATCAGTTAACTAGCAGTTGTATTTACCTTATAAGGTTATTGCACGGATTCCATTTGCATCTGTATGAATGTGTATCTATTAAATACTAACACACAAACATACACAAACCATATAGAATAGTGCCCACAGCCAACATCATACTCAATGGACAAAAACTAACACCATTTCCCCTAAGAACAGGAACAAGACAGGGATGCCCACTCTCACCACTCCTGTTCAACATAGTCCTGGAAGTATTAGCCATTGCAATTAGACAAGAAGAAGAAATAAAAGGCATCCAAATTGGAAAAGAGGAAGTAAAACTGTCCTTATTTGCAGACAACATGATATTATACATACAAAACCCTAGAGACTCCATCAAAAAACTACTAGACTTAATACATGAATTTGGCAATGTAGCAGGATACAAAATTAACCCCAAGAAATCCGAGGCATTTCTATACACCAATAGTGAACTTTCAGAAAGAGAGATTAGAAAAACAATCCCATTTACCATCGCACCAAAAAAATTAAGATACCTAGCAATAAACTTAACTAAAGAGGTAAAAGACCTCTACTCAGAAAACTACAGGACG